CGGACTTCCTCCTCTTCCTTTTGGACTGACACTAGGCGCGTTGACTCGAAGTCGGTGGCGGTTTCCAGCTTTGATAGCGCATCTGCATGCATGTTTTCTTCCCTTGGTATTTGCACGTAGGTCACCTCCTCGAAGGCATTTTCTCGTTGTTTGACGCGCTCCATGTAATGTGCGAGCGTGTCCTCCTTGGCGTCGAAGGCTCCGTTCAGTTGGTTCACCGCGAGTGAGGAGTCGGAGAGCACCCTGATCGTTCTAGCGCCCAAGTCATTGGTCGCGGCCATTCCTGCCAGGATAGCCTCGTACTCGGCCGCGTTGTTTGTCTTCAATGTTCTGAACCTGATTTCTATTTCGTGAATGACGCCTGTGGGGGTGCGCACCACGACACCCGCGCCGGCGCCATGTTTGCTTGCCGCGCCGTCTACGTACACTTCCCATACTCCTTCTGGTGTTGTCTCGAGGGTGACCCGCTCGGCGATGAAGTTCGCTAGGATCTGCGCTTTTATTGCTGGTCTTGGCGCGTATTGAATGTCGTACTCTGACAGCTCGACCGCCCATTTAACCATCCGCCCGGACACTTCCATTGAGGTTAGAATCTTCTTCAGTGCGAGATTGGTCAGGACGGTGATTTGGTGCGCTTGGAAGTAGGGGCGCAATTTTTGTGATGCACTCACCAGCGCCAGAGCGGCTTTCTCTATTGGGGAGTATCTTGTTTCTTCGCTGACTAGTGTCCGCGAAGTGTAATAAACTAGGCGTTCAGTTTGGCCATCCCTTCGGGATATTAGCACTGCGCTCACGGCTCTTGTTGACACAGCTAGATACAGGAAGAGTTTTTCATTAAGCTTGGGAGCGAACAGTACAAGGGGGGATACAAGGTACGCTTTAAGCTCTTGGAAGGCCTCTTCACACTCCTTGGACCATGCGAATCGAGTGCCGTTTTTAAGCGTCCTAAAGAAAGGCGCGCATTTGTCGGCTGACCTTGGTATGAACCTCCCTAACGTCGCTATCTTGTCGTTTAGAGACTGAATTTCCAACGCGCTTCTTGGCGCCCGCAGCTGTTGTACTGCAGTGATCTGTTTCGGGTCGACTTCAATGCCGCGCTTGGTTATCATGAAACCAAGAAAGTTACATGCTTCCGCTCCGAAAACACGCTTCAGTGGGTTTAAGCGGAGGCTGTGTTTGCGGAACGCCTCGAATGTCTCACGCAGATCTTCCAGATGCGAGTTACCAGCCTTGGTCTTAACGATGAGGTCGTCAACATATGCCTCGATGTTTCGCCCTATCTGTTGCGAGAACACCGAATCAATCATTATTTGGTATGTTGCGCCTGCGTTCTTCAGTCCGAACGGCATTCCGACGAAATAGAAGTTTCCGAATGGAGTCATGAACTCCGTTTTCTCCTCATCCTCGCGGGATAGTGGGATTTGGTGGTATCCTGAGAACATGTCGAGGAAAGACAGTGTTTCGTGGTCGGCGGTGGCGTCGATCAGTTGGTCAATGCGCGGCAAGGGGTTAGGGTCTCCCGGGCATACTTTGTTGATCGTTGTATAGTCGACGCACATCCGCCAGGCCCCTAAAGATTTTTTCACCAGGACCACATTTTCCAACCACTTCGGGTATTTGACCGAGCGGATCAACCCTGCTGCCAACAGTCGCGCCACCTCTTCTTCGATAGCTTTCAGTTTGTCGCCCGTGAAGCTACGTCGCGTTTGTTGTCTTGGAGGCGCGCCAGGCGGGACTGCGAGGCAATATTGGGCTACATGCCTTGGTACTCCCGGCATGTCTTCTGTACACCAGACAAATAGTTCCTTATATTCCTTCAGGAACGCTATCAGCGGCTCAATCGCGTCACCGCGGATGTGAGTCGAGATGCGTATTTTTCTAGTCGGCTCGGTTAGGTCAAGCGCGACTTCGAAATCGGAATCCATCGATTCTGGGTGGGGTTCCTCTTGCCTCGTGTCAACAATGTTAGTCTGGCGGACTTCTCTTTCGAGTTTTGGAACTCCCCATGGCGTCCCGCGCGCCTCTCCGGTTCCCATCTTGGTGGGGAACTTAAGCTTCTGGTAGCATGTGGATGGAAGGGCCATGAATTTTGCTAGGAATGGTCGGCCCAAGATGCAGTTGTGGGACGAGTTGCAGTCGACTATTATGAACTCGACTTGCTTTGAGACGCGCGGTTCTTGGTCTCCGATGACAACAGGGAGAGTTACCACCCCGATCACTGGAACTCTCGTTCCGGAGAACCCGACCAAGTTCCCTTGGGCGCGCTTGATTAAGCGCAGATCGATGTCCATTTGGTCAACGATCTCTTGAACAGGATGTCTGCCGCGCTACCCCCATCTATCAGTAGGCGGTGTATTTTGCAGGCAGCCACCAGAGCGGTGATGGTGAGCGGGTCCCCCGACGGAATTCCTTGAGGCAATTCGGTGTCGTCGAAGCTCAATTCGCACCTTGTTTGAACATCTGCCGTTGCGCACTCTAGCGCGCGTTCGCACTTGGTCTTTTTCTTCGGGCGATCTCCTTCCACTGTCACCACCCCTATTTCTTTGCGCACCAGATATGCGCAGTAGCATCATTATAGGCAGCTTGCAGGGGTGGTGGTGGGTTTCCTGGTCCTTCTGGCTGGTTCTCCGCTCCACGGATGAACTCCGTAAGTAACCCTCTTCGTATGAGGCCTTCGATTTCGTATCGTAGCTCCATGCACTCTTCCGTCCAGTGGCCTGTTTCTCTGTGGAAGTCGCAATGCCTCTTTGGGCCGCGCATATGTGGTGGGGCCTTCAAAGGCGCGGGCCAATTGATCTTGTAACCTTTCTCGAGGAGAACGTGTAACACGTTCTTTACCGAATCATTGAGCGGCGTATAGGCGTTTAACGGGCGCCTATCGGGTGATCGTCCCCGCCGAGCTTGTTCTGGTGGGGGCGGAGGATGGCGCTTTGGCCCGCTGTGTAGCTGTGCCAATTGCTCCCGCGGCATCGGTAGCTGTCTCCGCCCCTGTTCTTCTTAGGGCGGCTTCGCGGGTTCGAAGCGCCTGACGGACCCCGCGCCGAGCATTTCTTCTAGCGTGATTGCTTTCTCAATCTTCATCTCTAGCTCTGTCGATAGTGTGACGGGTCTTTTCACCAATGCTCGCTTGAGCTCCATGTTGGTGGTGGCTTCCATAAGGTGATGGGCGGCAGTTTCGGGGGTGAGGTCGCGCACGGCCATCGCCACCCTGGACCATCTGGCGTAGAATGCACGCAGGCTTTCCCCGCCCCTTTTGTCTTATGTCTATTAGCGCCTTGAGGTGGAGAGGCCTTCTTTTTTGGGATGCAAACTTTTTTGTGAACAAGAGTAGGAACTCTTCAAACGAGCGGATGATTCCGTTTGAGAGCCTGTTATACCAGTCGAGGCATATTCCGGAGAATGTTGACGGGAAGGTTCTGCATAGCGCCGTGTTGGAGTTCGTTTGGAGTTGTACCCGCAAGCAGAAGGTGCTCACGTGATCTTCAGGATCGGTCGTCCCGTTATACGTGGGGAGGGCGGGTGGCATTCCGCTCAAGTGCTCCGCCATGATTTCCGCGCTTAGCGGTTGGTGGAGCGCTTTTCTGGGTGGATTGGGGCGGTATTGCGGGGACAGGTGTTGCTCCAGGAAGCTGAGGCCCGCCCTGCATGGTGGCTCGGCCTGTTGCGCTTCACACGCAGAGGACTCGCCCGGCGGATGTTGTGGCAGCGGGGTGCCCCCTGACGTTTCACCAGGTGCTTGCTGTGGCGCGCTTGGTGTCGCCTCTACTGTTGTCGCGGCTTCCCTGCTCATCATGAGCGCTATGACTTGGCCCATTTGTGTTTTGCATGTCGGCTATGACGCTATTCTGCTTTGCCATTAGCTGCCTCATTTACTTGGGGGTCAGCTCGGGCTCTTCTTCTTCGATGAGCACCGCGTTGAGGTTGCTGGTTTCCGCCAACGCTCTTGGGTTGGTCATTGCTTTGATGGGCGTTGCTTCGTCAGGTAAGTTGGGGTTATGGTCTGCCATGAGTCGGCTTTCTTTTGCTTCTCTGCATGGCCCCACGGTGGCCGCCAATTGTTTGAGCCTGACTGAGTGTAGGAGTAAGACTCGGGAAGGAGGGTCAAGGAGAGTAAGCAAGAAGGGTTCAGGGAAGATCCGAGAACCAGGAAAAGAAGGAATGGGGACAAGAGGATCGGATTAGTTAATGAGGACCTTACTTCCCTTTCCAGAACGAGGGAAGAGTGTGTATTGATGATCAGTCTTTTAGAGAGAGAAGTTGATAGTTGTAGAGATAGAGTTCCAAAAATGCGACCCCTCACCCACCGGAGTAAATGCCATATTTATAGGCTACATGGTGGTGGGTGAGATGTATGAAGGTACAATGACATGACCGCTGACATGTCAGAGGTTTAGGTCACACCTCTACCTAGGACATGTCAGGGGTTTACCTATGATTGTATCTAAGACCCTGATGTGACCACTCCTCGGGAAACGTGGTGTCATTTTCTGCGACTTTTTGGTCTGGCCCACGCTTGATCCCTTCCCTTGCGTGTGTAACCTTCGTCGCGCTCGAGGTCTCTGCGACGGAACGTCTTAGGTCGCGTCGCGCCCTGACGCGCTTGGCGACATCGGGAGGTCCGAGTCACATGCCCAACAAGTTGGTAAAAATTTGTCTATACCGATATAGCATTCATATATGTGAGGATATATGTTGAATGACAAGGTAAATTAATAGTTGGTAAAAATTTGCCTATACCGATATAGCATTCATATATGTGGTAAATACGCGTAAACTCTCATTCGCATAACATTGTAGAACTCTCTCATTTGCTTGATTCTTCACGTGCTAACCATGTATAGCAAGTTTACTACTTGATCTTAATGAATTGATAGTTTGCTAATTATTTATACTATACTAAGTTTTAGGTTGTAAATTTTCAATATTTTTATAGTTACTGTTATGTAATATAGAACCGTAGCATAAACTGTATTTTACCAACAAGAATAATTGAATAAAAACTCTGGTGAAATTTCAAAATTTGGAGTTTGTCGCAGAAGTGGGAAATCAACGGTCGTCGGCACAGTTTCCTATTCAGCAATCAGCCCCGTCTCCATGCTCTCCACTCTTCAATCACACACTCACTCGAACGCCCCCTTCTCGTTCCTCCTCCCATCGTTCGCAGAGACAGCAGAGAATCAGAAAAATGGTGGCGAAGCAATCGAAATACGAGCAAATCCGGCTCAGCAGAATGGAAGAGAACAAGAAAAGAATGGAAGCCCTCAATCTCCCCCTGCTCTCTCAATCCCTCCGCACCACCTCTCCCAACCCTTCTCCGGTACAATTTCCCAACATTCTCCTACTTTGAATATGGCTTTTAATTATGACGGTGATTTTCATCTGAACCCTAATGCTGCAGATGAAGCAGTCAGCGCCTCGGCCTCGTGTGGTGAAGAAGGAAGTGGTGGTCGTCAGGAGGTCCAGCCGCGTCGCCAACAAACCTTCTCCTGTATATGCTGAAGTGGGTGAATCCCTTGTCCCTTTTCGAGTTATTGAATACTATCTAACTTTCTAACCCTAGGTCTGCTTCTACAGCTGGGTTTAAGCCATTTGAATCAGGGCATTTAAGAGAGTTTTAGTTGTGCTTTTATGTGGCAGAAGAATCGTAACTTTTGTGATTGATTGAGGTGTTTCGTTTCGTCGGGCAGGTTGTTGTGGATCGAGTGATGATACCAAGAAGGTACAGATATGAGGATATGATCCCCATCCAAATTGCTTGGAGCCTAGCTATATGAAATGAATGTTCATCTGGGGCTAAAGTGGTTAAGAGGAATGTATGGATCTTTTGTTTGCAGGGTGTCAAGTGGAAGGTCAAGGGATTTGTCGAATAGGGTGTATGCAAGTGATGAAGCAAGGGCAGAAGCTTTGGAGAAAGCAGAGAATTTGCATGCTAGTTTAGAAACCCATTACCCTTCTTTTGTCAAGTCCATGCTTATATCCCATGTTACTGGTGGATTCTGGCTGGTGAGTTTTGTCTCCCTACCTATAAATCTTTTGACTTTCCCCTCCTTCCCAACTGCTCTTCAATACGTTTTTCATCTTTCAACTGCTTCCAGTCGAGATTTTCTTCCGAACCCATGTGATATATCCCAAGCACATGATATGATCATAGAAGCTGTGACTTTTTTTTGTCTCCCTTGAGTTTTCAGCCAAGATCTCTTCCAACCGTATGCCTTATTGGGATGAATTGGTTATTGACGATTTATGGTTACTCTTTAGTTAGAATGGACTAGAACTGTATAACTATACTTGATAATTCAAGTTCAACTGATGAACATCACAGGGACTTCCGAAAAGCTTCTGCAAGATGAACCTTCCAAAACGTGACGAAGTGATGACCCTAATAGACGAGGAAGGAAATGAGCACCCAACAATCTATCTTCCAAGGAAGACGGGACTGAGTGGTGGATGGAAAGGGTTTGCAGTTGATCACAACTTGGCAGATGGGGATGCTTTAATTTTCCAATTGATCAGGCCTACAGCATTCAAGGTTGTATCCATCTTCCTGTCCACCCCCCACTAATCTGCATTAAAACAAAGAAGGCCAGCAAAGTGGCCAACTCTGCTTATTTAAGATCACAATCCATTTCCTTACACAAATTTGGCCCCTCTTTTCTCATTGCTGCAGGTCTACATCACAAGGGCTAAAGTTAATATCTGAATCTTGGTGGGTTTTCATTTTACCAGGACAGCTAGATCATCAGTTAGGTAAAATCCAATCCATCCTCCCATTTTATCCTTAAACTAGTACATGTTGCGTGAAGAGTGGTGAACATGGTCAAGTGCTGCTCATTCCAATATCAGATTGATTGGTATAAGGATCGGATCAAATACAAAAGAAAACAGTTGATCATAAGCATATAAAAATATATAGATTCAATCTAATTTTCAATCCATGTTCTATTCCCTTCGAAATGAAATCAAAACCAAGTCGTAAATTTGAGAATTTCGAAACCGGGATAAATCATACTTGAATCCGCTCCAATTCGAATTTAATCTGCAGCAATGTGTCTGTGGTCTGGACTAGCTAGCTGCTATTCTATTCTGATGAAATGTGCAGTAAGAAAAGGTTGGGAAAAATGAAGTCTTTTTGTGTTTTTTCCACACGTTTGCTTTACATAGTCGGCTGAATCTGTATTGTTTTCTCTATGAAATCCTTTGAGGCCAACTGTCAGACCTACTTTAAGAGCATCAAATGCCCTGAATATATAAATCTTTTCTCCTTTTGCTGTATGACTTTTGAAGAGAGACATCCATCCAACTTGTGTTGCACTTCCTCCACTCACGTTGTTGCCTTAGCTTAGCTTAACTTGGCACATGGACTGCATCCATTATAAGAGTTTATTAAAACACCCTTTTGATCTCACATTGCTTAATCCCTCCCTCCCTGGGGTTCCTTTTTGTTTTTATTTCCCATTTTCAGTTTGCTTGGAATCACAAAACTTAACAATTCCACTGATTTTGATGGCAATCATACATGTATATCAGATTGGGAAGGACACTTTGTCTCTTGATCAATAGATCCTCATACCATGTTACCCTAATTTCAATGCCGTCCTTATAAACTCATCTTACAAAACTGAATTAGACAAATACAAGTTTGTAAAAAGTCGGATTTATGTAGTCCTCGATTCGTCGGTTTTACATCTCCTTGAGTCGTGTTAGCTTAAATTTTAAGATGGTAAGAAGATTTGCTTGATTCCTCTTTGATGAGTTTCCATAGCAATCATATATCAAGGTGACTTTAGTTTTGGCTTTGTTTATTTGGTCCCTTAGTGCATAACACTGATCACAACTATTCCACTTGTGATATTCAGGGGCTTGTTGTTATTAAACAAAGCTTTATGGAGGCAGCGCAGCAGGTTGTAGAAGTCGAAGACTTTTTGGTGTATAGATAACGGTAATGGTGAAGGTGAGGGGTGGTGGTGGTGGGGATTGTAATCATGCTCCCACCATCATATTTTTGGGGGGATGATTTTGCAATTTACCCTTGATTATGACCTGATCTCTATTATTGCGTTGTTAGATTAACTCGATTCTCTAATTATGATTTCCAGAAAACATATAATATCCCCTTCTCTTTCGCCCTTTGCCTCTCTTTTCTCTTCAATGTGCGGATTATGCTAAGTGATAGGTTAATGAATAGCAATAGGGTACAAGTTTATACTTTTCTAGTTAATTAGTTATTAAACTGTCAATTGAGCACTTTAATCAGGCCCTGCTAGCTAAGGTTTGTTGGCGCATTCTGAGTGAACCTGAGTCGCTTCTAGCCCAAGTGTATAAAGGGAAGTATTTTCCGAGGAGTGGTTTCCTTGAGGCACAGGCGCGGTCTCGGCCCTCCTGGGGGTGGCAGAGTATTCTGTTCGGGCGACAGCTGTTGAGCCAGGGCCTTCGGTGGCAGATTGGTAATGGTCAGAAAGCCCCTCTTCTCCAGGATAGCTGGGTTCCCAGTCTGCACCCTCTGGTCCCTTTGTTTAACCCTTGTGTGCTGCCTGAGAATGAGGTCTTGCGGGTGGCATCCGTCATTAATAATGAGGAGGGCTCCTGGAGCGATGAGGGTTTGGCTCGTTGGTTTGACCCTCGTACCTGCCGGCTCATCAAGGAGATTCCTCTCCCTCGTGGTAATGTTGCGGATCGGCTTATTTGGCATGGAACGCAGGATGGTGTTTTCACTGTGAAATCGGCTTACCACCTAGCGGGGCAGTTGGAAAGAATGGGCAATCAAGACCGGTCCTCGGTCAGTTGGATGGATAAATCTAGTTGGATTCGCGTCTGGCAGGCCCCAGTTCCCCCGAAACTTCGGGTATTCCTTTGGCAAATTCTGAATCGGCTCCTTCCAACTACTGAGGCGCTGATTGAGCGAAAAATCCAAGTGCACCCCCGTTGCCCTGTTTGCTGGGCAGAGTCTGAAACGATGGAGCACCTGTTTCTGGAGTGTCCGGTGGCCCGAGCCGTCTGGGATTATGCCGGGCTAGAGTATCTTGGGCAGGGGTTGCCACGTCACACGTTTCCCTTGTTTCTGAAGAGGTTGTTGAATCTCCTGGAACAGGAACATTTGATTATGGCGGTGACGGCTGTCCTCTGGCGAATTTGGAGATCCCGGAATTGGGTCGTGTTCGAAGGGAAGCAATTTGGGATTCCTGCTTTGATGAGGCAGTACCACCAGCAATTCCAGGAATGGATTGGTTTACCGAAGGAGAAAGCCCAGTTTGTTCCTGCAGCCCCGGAGGTTGAGGTTCTCCATTGTCCTCTGATCTGCTTTTGGGATGGGGCTACCAGGGCCGCATCGCACTCGGCAGGAGGGATGGTATTGGTGAATTCCTGGGGGGCTGTTCTGGTAGCCAGAGGTTTTCTGTTTGATGGCGTTGAGGACCCTTTAATTGCTGAAGCACTTGCTCTTCGTGAAGCTGTTCTCTGGTGCCGGGACTCGGGGATTGCGGAGGTGCGTTTTGAGGGAGATGCCAAGGTGCTGATTCAGAAGATTATTCAGTCAGACACTAGGGATAATAGGGTGGGGGCACTTCTTGAGGAGATTGTAGGGATGATGGGTTCGTTGGGAGGTTTCTCTGTTCGGTTTGTAGGTCGGCGTAGCAATAGGGCAGCCCACTTGGTGGCTAGAAAGGCTCTTTCATTGTACCCGACTACGAGTCGTTGCTTTAATTTGTTTGCCTGGCTTACTACCAGGATGTAATTACCTATGTTTCTGATCAATTTATCGATTATCTTTTGACAAAAAAAAGTTATTAAACTGTCAATTGAACATTCGTAAGATGCAAAAGATGAATGAAAACGACGTGTTTGCATTGCGTTCCATGTACATTTACATCGCCTCATTGCTGAATCAATTTAACGATTGATCGAGCAAGATCGAAGCACACATACTTTCAACCTCCCTCTCCTTCCATTAACCTGTTAACCCCAAACGGTAAGAGCAAAAGGCGCGTTTTTCCTTTTTTATGCCGTCATTGGCGCCAAGCGGAGCTGAGCTGGACGAAGGCACAGAGTTTTGACACAATCTTAACGTTGTTACTTTCTTGTAACTTGACAATTTTTAATTAGTAATAAAAAATAAAACGGTCCCCGGTTCATGAATTAAACAACGCTGATTTCACTGCAACGCACCATTTTTTCGCGTCTTTGCTTCTTGTTATACCTTGGCCAGCTAAGCAACAGCCAACAGGTGGGATAACTGGGAAAAAATCCAAAAGTACCACTGTTTAGAAAAAAATTTCCAAAAATACCACCCAACCCCAAAAAATTCCAAAAATACCACCTTTTTTCAAAAACCGCCACCCCACCCAGCGGTTTGGTCGAAAACCGCTTGTCGGGGGCGCGGTTTTGGACCAAACCGCGGGCCTAGGGGGCGGTTATAAAAAAAAAAATTTTTTGGACCAAAACCGCTGGGTGGGGTGGCGGTTTGGCCCAAAACCGCCACCCCAACCAGCGGTTTGGTCCAAAAGTTCGGTCGAAACTTCAAACGAACGTAACTTTGCACTCGGGTATCCGATCATAGCGATTTTTTTTTTCATTTCGCATAACTTTTCAAGATCTACAACTTTTACTAGGATGAAATTTTCAAAACAGGAACTATTTGTGGATATACGGGACCTTGAGAATAACTTTACCTTTACTTTTCAGAAATCCATGTACATTTTGAAATTATGATTATATTAAAAGTTGTAGATCTTGAAAAGTTATGCGGAATAAAAAAAAAATTCATGACATTCGGATTTTGGAGCACAAAGTTGTGGCCGCCCAAAGTTTGACGAAATAAAAAAAAATGCCGTTCGGGGTGGCAAATGACGTTTTTTCGAGACGAAGACGGAACCCGACTGTTTGAGACTTTCAAGATCTCAAAAAGTGATTCGGATTCAAAAAATGGAGGCCGCAAACTTATTGAGATCTTGCAAGCCGCAAACCGCCGGGTCTCGCCTTTCGTCAAACTTTGGGCGGCCATAACTTTGTGCTCCAAACTCCGAATGTTATGAACTGTTTTTTGATTCCGCATAACTTTTCAAGATCTACAACTTTTAATATAATCATAATTTCAAAATGTACATGGATTTCTGAAAAGTAAAGGTAAAGTTATTCTCAAGGTCCCGTATATCCACAAATAGTTCCTGTTTTAAAAATTTCATCCTAGTAAAAGTTGTAGATCTTGAAAAGTTATGCGAAATGAAAAAAAGAATCGCTACGATCGGATACTCGAGTGCAAAGTTACGTTCGTTTGAAGTTTCGACCGAATTTTTGGACCAAACCGCTGGTTGGGGTGGCGGTTTTGGGCCAAACCGCCACCCCACCCAGCGGTTTTGGTCCAAAAAATTTTTTTTTTTATAACCGCCCCCTAGGCCCGCGGTTTGGTCCAAAACCGCGCCCCCGACAAGCGGTTTTCGACCAAACCGCTGGGTGGAGTGGCGGTTTTTGAAAAAGGGTGGTATTTTTGGAATTTTTTGGGATTGAGTGGTATTTTTGGAATTTTTTTTTTAAACAGTGGTACTTTTGGATTTTTTCCGGATAACTGGCGCCGGGATTTTCGGGCGGTCTTTGTTTCCCCGGCGGAAGTCAAATGGTTAGGTAGTGGGCCGGGCTTGGCCCGCAAACCACAATCAATCCGCCCTGCCCTGAGCGATGAAGGAAAGGAAGAGAGGATTTATCAACTCTACTGTGACATTGTATTGACCCGACCGAATTAACAGCTAATTGTCTTGTCCCCATGGCCATGCATGTTGGAAGAAAAGAATGGTTTTGATTACCTCATCAGTCATCATGATCATCAAAGAGTTGCTGAACCAATAAAAAAATCTGAGCACGCATTTTTGTACAATCAAATATGTAGTCGGCTAGTCGTTGTTTATCAAAACAATTAGTAAAATACGGTATAAATATAAGTACGGTATGGACTTCAAGTGATTTGAGTACGGTAAGAATGTGGTAAGGTCTGTAAGGATCTTGAAATGGGCTAGCCAATTCGTAACATATCATTTTGACGAGTTTCTAATTAATAAATTGAAATCGAAGAATAACATAGATGCTAACTCTAGAAAGGACTGGATTGGAATTCACAAAAATCTCCTTACCCTTATATATTTTGGAAATGAACTATTATGTAATATGATTGCAATATCAAATTAATAGTTAATAATTTTGTATTGAAATTAATTCCTTATTGCTTGTTAACTCAGAAACGTACAGGTTGTCGAAAACTAAATATCCTTCACAAATATTCTGACATAATATCCCTTCACTATACCGCAGCTGGAAATATCAAAACAAATGCTGAATGTAAAAATTAGTAAATTACCATTCAACACTAATTTTTTAAGAACTAATTGAGAAATCTGATGTTTGAAATTATAATGAGCCTAAATATAGCCAATATCATTTCTGTCAACAATGTTTTCCGTAGATGAATACCTACAGTATTTATGTGTAGTTTTTCAATGTGAAAATTATTGTGTTCAAACTCGAATGATATTTTTATCTTTTAAATAGGTTATCCATTCAAATTTTGTTTGGTGGAATGTAAGTAATATTTCTATAGTGCTTATAACTGTGCGATTGTGTTCTAACTACTTCATAAGGACGCAATGTGATAGACCATTGATTACACATGTTTTTACCCCTATCCTTGAGCCGTTTGAGATGTCGATTCTCGCATTTTAGGCCGATTTCACGTTAGGTTGTTCTTGTTTGTGATATTTCAGGTCCTAGTGCGTGAATGAAGGTTTAGGAACGAGTTCGGGGTCGATTGGACGAAGTTTGGACGTTTGGCGAGAAGCTGAGAAGCCACACGGGCATGCCTAAAAGCCACATGGCCGTGTAGGGGACTCCTTGTGGCCGTGTGGAAATTCCAGGGAACTCACACGGGCACCCTGGAAGTTCACACGGCCGTGTGGGTCGTGGCCGTGTAGGAAGCCTGAAGCCACTTATCGAAACTCCGCGTTTTGACACTCACACGGGCAGCCTAGGAGAGTCACACGGCCGTGTGAGTCGGGAAATTCTGGGTTTTAACCCAAATTCGAGCCAAAGGAGAGGGAGAGCTGGATTTTGGATCCCAAACACCCAAGGGACAAACAAAAGAGAGAGAGGGCGATTTGAGGGCATTCTAAGAGTGAAATTGGAGGATTTATTCGCCTTGGAAGCTCGAGGAACAAGCCCGGACTTGAAGACTAATCATCTGAAGATTCTTACTGCAGTCTCTCTCTTCTCTATGGAGTAACTTCCCTTGACTTAGGTTTTGAGGAACCATAGCCATGTTTGTTTGATTGGATGATTGTATGAGTACTCTAACTTCATAACCTTGAGTTCATATTCAATCTATGCATGTTTTCACGATTCAATTCTGCTTTAGTCGAGATTATTGATTCTGCTTTATTCCTATGAGAGCGAATACCTGATTAGGTCAATAGAGCACCATAGATTGATAACATTGGATCGATTGCTTTAGTCGAGGGTTGATTCACTGCTTTGTATCGATTGAGAACCTCTTTCGATAGAGGGAGTCTAGTTCAGAATGCCTTGATCGGTTGTTCTAGAGAAGGATACGTCCCTCTAGGCAATTGACTCAAGAGGGCCTTGTTCCTTTAGTCGAGACTCAAGGTCTAGTCAAGGATTCTCGGCATTGTGAATGAAAGTGAAACAAGTTAGAGATCATCAATCATTAATCTGCCTAGTGGCTAGGGGGAATCATACCTAAGTGAGTTTCCAACCTGTAATTAGATTAACTTTAACTGTAGTTTGCTAGAGTAGTTTTAGTTCTTTTATTTTAATCTGGTTTGCTAGATAATGAACTGAAGCTGAGTAATAGTAACTCTAGAGACCCGTGGATTCGATATTTATTACTTGAGCCACTATACTGCAGTCCCCTTCATTGGTTACACTTGGCCATTGTTAGGTGTTGTTTCATAGCGAGTCACAATGATAATTTTATAAATAAGATATCATGCGTTTATCCAACAAGTATGAGGTATACAACTTCCATCAAACAGTTAAGCGTGTTATACGAGCGCACTTGCAGATTGTATTATTGGAAGTATCGTAATTAATTGTATCTAAAATTGGGTAGAAATTTTGAAATCATTTCAACGTCGCACATAAAATTTCTACCGCAGGATATACGAGGATGGCTCCCGCAGAACTGGCAAGTCCGAATTGTGCATGTCTATAAAGAGGCGAACGTCGTTGCTGATTACCTTATTAATTTAGAATACTCTTGCCCGATGGGGCCTCAGATTATTGCAGCACCTGGTGCTGCTCTCTCATACCATGACATTATTAAGGTTCAAGCAACTCGTTCCGTTATTGAATAAAAGTTGGGCGCTGTTTGAGAGCCCCATTTCTCTAAAAAGAAAAAGAAAATCTCTAACTTTACGAAAATATTTGGAAGCAAAAAGAAAAAAAATGGAAATCGTTGTTATTTTCAGTGGGTCCCACCAAAATTGCCAGCACAGAGAAGCGAAACCGTTTTCCAAAATGACGAAATCACTAATCAGACGGAGGTGATTTAGCGCGCCCCAACGCCTCACTCGCGCGCCGAACGGAGGATTAATACGGCGCGTTTAATCCACCACGTCAGCTCCAACTGCCTCCAAGCCTCCAACAACACCAGCGCATATAAACAAAAAAAACGAAAAAACAGATTAAGAAAAAAATTAAATAAGGAAGAAGAAACAGAGAGGAAAAAGAGAGCAAGAAAGAACAGCTCCAATTGCGCTCATATTATTGTTTTGTTGTTAAATGTAACGATCTCTCTCTCTTCCCTCCCCTCTCTCTCTCTCTCTGTCAATTGCGTTTCTTCGTTTCAACAATGGAATTTCTGCAGAACGCTGGGATCCGCGTTTCTCGATCGCAGCAGCAGCAATATCTTCACCAAATTCTCCTCCATATGCTCTAACAACCTCTCTTCCGCCATAGCCAGCCACCATTACTTCTCTTCCCCTTCCATTCCTTTCCACCGCCCTTCAGCAATCGCTGCTGAAGCTATACGCTCGTTCCTGATTCCTTCCCGCTTCTCTCGCCGCTGCGCCGTCTGCCGGATTCCAAAACCCTCAGGTCCGGCTCCGGTTTGAGGAGCATTCTCCTCCAGATTCGGCATCGGTTCTCTGTAAGTTCCTTGAGATTTGCTCTACATTGATCTGAAATGCAACGCTTCTCTTCTCTTCTCCGTTTCCTCCTTCGAATCGCTGTTTTCTGAACAGTCTCTCGTTTCCAATTGTATCTCCGTTTTAATTATTCGCTTGTACGGAAGATCTCCGACGTTTTTTTTTTGTCGTTGTATGAGCCGGCCGCGGCCAAGATATGGCATCTCGTTGTTGCAAACGTTTTATGTTTTTCCCCTTTCCCTCTCCCTCTTTTTGATCGTTCTACGTGGCTTTTTGCGATTAGGAGGCTGAAATGCGGAATCGGTTTTTCCCTTTGTTGATTTTAGTTTTCTTGGTGTCTTCGTTTGCAGTGGAGAGAAACAATTGAGATTGGCGGTCGTCGAGGATTTTCGTCGTTGTTTTGTTCTTCGGAGTTTCTGAAATGTCAACCACGAGGGAGCATCACACGGTGCCGCTCTCGGTGCTTCTAAAGCGGGAATTGGCTACCGAGAAGGTAGAGAAGCCTGAGCTTGTCCATGGACAGGCCAACCAGAGCAAGAAAGGGGAAGATTTCACGTTCGTCAAAACTGAATGCCAGAGGATCCTTGGCGATGGCGTTACTACTTACTCAGTTTTTGGGGTAATTTTCTTTTGCTTTCATGATCCAGCTTTACTTGGGTGCAGCTTTTGATTGATCTCAAGCTTTGTTATCAAGTCTTCCCTACTGAATCCTATTTTGTTGTTTGCAGTTATTTGATGGTCACAATGGCTGTGCAGCAGCGATTTACACTAAGGAGAATCTTCTAAACAACGTTATATCCGCTATTCCTCAAGACCTTAACCGAGAGGAATGGCTAGCGGCACTTCCCAGGGCATTGGTTGCAGGATTTGTCAAAACAGATAAAGATTTTCAAGTTCGAGGTATGAATATGCTGAATCCTGTTGTCCGATTGACGTTTAAAGCCTGTCACTCTATCCTATTTAGGACTGAAATGCAATTTTCGGTTTGGAATGTCTAGCCTGTATGGTCAACTATGGATGTTGTGATCGATATCCATGCTCATGGTGATCTCATTTATAATGGAGTTGGTAGCTGATAAATTTTTTGGTCTCCCACTTTTCAGGACAACCATCTGGTACTACTGTCACATTTGTGATTATTGAAGGATGGGTTGTAACTGTAGCATCGGTCGGAGATTCGCGTTGTATACTTGAATCTGCTGAAGGTGATCTCTACTACTTGTCAGCAGATCACAGGCTTGATTGCAATGAAGAGGAGTATGTGTGACTTGTTTATTTGGGTTTTTTTTATCCCACAGCCTTATGGATCAATCACCCTTCTAAGTTCTAACAATTGTTTTCTTCTCACTTTTCCTTTCTTAGGAGGAATCGTATTACAGCAAGTGGTGGTGAGGTTGGGCGCCTGAATACTGGTGGTGGTGCAGAGGTATCTTTTTCTTTTTCCCTCTTTGCAACTCTTCTTCCTGTCATACTTTTTGCTATTGTTTAACGAGAATACTTTGATGGTTTAATCCTGTGTTGATTATTGCTCGTTTGGTGGCGTATTCGGCGCACCCACTTTTTTGGGTGCACTCAGTGCACTCGTCTCATAATCATCATTCTGAGCATGCGATTCATGTCAAAACGGTATCAATTGTTGCTTATGATATTATGAACAAGAAGCACGTGAATTTGAAAAAAAAATCATTTAAATTTTACTTTTATTTGTAGGATTTAGGGCTAGGGTTTAGGTTTACATTTTGGGATTTGTCATTGAGATTCAAATTGAAGGTTAAAGGGTTAGAGTAATAGATTGATTTGTTATGATTCTATGGCATATCATCATATTAGATTGAGAGTACTCATTAAAGTTCAAAATTTGATGTATTATGGACACTTTTAGAGATGAGTGCACTGAGTGCACCCAAAAAAGTGAGTGCACCGAAGTAGCCACCTTGCTCGTTTACATCAATTGCCACTCTAAGATAAGATGCCCATTATCACTTAAAAATGGAAAGTGGATATCGTTTTGGATGGATATGAATTGATACTATATGTGCCTGTATCAAATTGTACTTGACTGGACTGTTTGCTCCAAACTGATCTAACTTGTATAACACTGCTTGCTGTAGATTGGCCCGTTGAGATGTTGGCCTGGTGGCTTGTGTCTGTCACGGTCCATTGGAGATCTGGACGTTGGCGAGTATATTGTTCCTGTTCCTTACGTGAAGCAAGTCAAGGTTTGTGCCTCTTCTTCTTTTCCATCTTCAGTTAATTTTCTTATGCATCTCACTGATTCACTATCTATGGACTTTACCCTCTACTATGGGCCTCAGCCTTCAGCATTTCTGGCAAGCGTTTTACCACCTTTATCATAACACCATCTGTGTACTTGTATTCAGCGTATCCTGTAGAAGAGTTAAGTAAGATGGACTTGGTGATTTTTATATCGGAAATATTGATGAAGCTACTACTATGGATGGTCCAATTCTCTGTTATAATACAACTTGACCAATGATAGTTCAGTGAAGGAATGGGCTGAATCTGCATGAGATTTGTCTCCTTCTAACGAATCTTTTGGTTGTTTCTCTGCAGTTGTCTACTGGTGGTGGTAGGCTTATCATCGCAAGTGATGGAGTTTGGGATGCTGTGTCTGCCGAAACGGCTCTTGACTGTTGCCGTGGAATGCCCCCAGATGCTGCAGCATCACAAATCGTTAAAGTATGTGGAAAATTTTATATTTTGCTGTCTGCTGTTTTATTCTAGGTTTATGACATGCTTCGATAATGCCTGAACTATATCCGTGTTCTTCCACTAATAACCGGATCATTCCATTTTGTTTTAATTTTGCAGGAAGCCGTGCATCCTAAGGGTATCAGAGATGACACTACCTGCATTGTTGTTGACATGCTTCCAGTGGAGAAGCCAGCCGTCCCTCACCCAGTGCCTAGGAAACAACAAGTCAAAGGAGTGTTGAGATCTATGTTCAGAAAGAAGTCTTCTGAATCATCTTCTCATCCCGACAAAGGATACGTTGAGCCGGATGTCGTTGAGGAGATGTTCGAGGAAGGCTCTGCTATGCTTTCAGAAAGGTTTGTTCTCTCTGTCAGATAATCATCACTCTTGGGCTCACTATGGTAATTTCAGAGACTCTGGTATGCTGACTCCTGAGGTGTTGGTTTAATGTCGGTCGGTGGTTGCAGGTTAGACACAAAGTACCCGCTGTGCAACATGTTCAAGTTGTTCATGTGTGCGGTGTGTCAGGTAGAGATTAGACCTGATGAAGGAGTATCGATACATGCCGGGTCAGGTAACATGAGAAGGCTACGTCCCTGGGATGGCCCTTTCCTTTGTGTCAGTTGCCAAGAGAAGAAAGAAGCAATGGAAGGGAAAAGATCATCTGGAGGTTTGCTTTACTTTCCACCCCTGTTCAAGTGTGAATTGGTTTAACAGGCTCGCTTTTACCAACTCAGTATATCTTTGAACTTGTACAGATAGACACAGTAGCGAAAGTGACTGAGCGAGCCAGTCAGGCTCCTTCAACTATAGACGACGATGATGATGCATCTCAGCGAGCACTAACAATTGTTTCAGAAGTTTAATGTAAATGGAAAAAGACAACTTATCTTGGGACGTTACTTCAATTAAAATCCGACGGCAGAATCTTTTGGAACCCCATGCTTTGCTCTGAAGACAAGGACGATGAAAGAAGATGAGAAGAACTTGTTATAGCTGCTGCTGCTGCTGCTTACCAGTGACATACGTATGTTTATCTAACTTGAAGACTTGATGGTTGATCCTCTTAGTTTGTGCTCGCCCTCCCTCCAAGACTCCGAACGAAAAGTTTGATCGTGCCAAATGCTTAGCAGCAGCAGGGATGCATCAAAGAGCGGTCAGTCGTCGTTTTTCCCCTTCTCCGATCATTATTTTCATTATTTCTTTCTTTTTTCTACTTTCTTCTGTACTTGAATCCACAATATTCTTCTCCAAAAGTCACAAAGCTAACATCGGAACAACAACGGTAGCAGCAATGTCCAAATATTAATAATTTCTTAGGCACTTAATGACAACAAGTCTTCTTCTTCGTCCACATTAGACGGTAAGAGAGAGAGAGAGAGAGAGAGAGAGAGACAATTGGCAATGGAGGAATGAGAGAAACAATGTGTAGCTGTGATCTTGTTACAAGAGCGGAACGAATTCCTTGATGTAGTTGTAGCTGTAATGAATCTTGTTCCATATATGTCCATAGAAAGATACTTGCTCAGTTAAATTCTTTTATATATTATTTCTAAAATAGCAAGGTCAATAAGCATTAATGAATATTGTATTTGCTTTAACATGATCGTACTTCAAGATAACGGTTAATTTTGAGGGTCGTGAGGATTTGAACACGTAATTTACAAACTAGTTTTGATACCATGTTATAAATCAATTAGTCTCAATAACTAGAGTTGTTGGAAGAAGTCGATGGACAATTGAGAACAATGATTGGAATAATAATGGTATAATGATGATGATGAAGAGTCATCAGTGTTCTACATTTTGGATTGGATAGAGTGGGGGTAAAGGGCAAAAGTGAATTGAGAGTTGGAGATTGCGAAAGAGGGTGAGGAAGTTGGAAGTCATTCCCGCACATGGTTGGTTGGGACCATGACGATGACAAATGCAGGCTGGCTGGCTGGCTGGCTGGGATGTTCGTTTGTGGCCGAATTACGCGTTTGTTGTTTACATGTGCTCTTCTGCTGAGAGATAGATCTCTCATCTCCCTCCCTAGGAAGAGAACAAAAGGAACAGAGATATCCGTCGCACAAAGCAATGGATCAATCAAGCATGTGGACTGGACTCATTAGCTGTTCAAGCTTTCATGTTTTCTCCGAGTCGCAGAGATCAATCCGAACTAACTCTGCTTCGCCTTGCGCAATTTCCACGCCATTTAATAAGAATGATACTAATAGGCCGACTCGTTAGGTAATTTGATTTGATTTGTCATATGATCTATGAAAACTCGAACGAACAAGCACGTGAAAGCATTAAAGAGATTGATTCGGTGTTTATATGGTATCCCCTATTGATCTGGACTGGTACATATGAGAGATCAGCCTCTCCAGCTTCTTATCTTATTGACACCTAGCCGAATGGCAGTACATGATTACATTTATATCTTGCACTAGTAGCTAGAACTTGGGCTGTGGATGAGATGGGCTCGGACTTGGGCTCAACGGGTGATCGTCTCGGTCCAATAATCCATATGAGTATTGGGTTAGTCCAAATTGACTCATATGTATTTTTAATGATTTTGAGTTTGAGTTGGATTTGAGTTGAGTTCAATTTAAATAAATCCTTTTGGGTCCGACTCAAATGCATCTATTTATGCCTACAATTGTACATACAAAGATGATGTAGACCATCCCAATAACTATCTTCAAACCAATTACACTTTTAATATTGGTGTTCTCACCTTTTCATTTGTTCCGCATTCCGCAACAACAAAAAGACAAAAGTTGCATTAAAATTTGGTAATGAGTACCATATTTTTTTAATACCCAACACTACGAGTCAAATTTAAACTCAAACTGAAATTTATTTTTCCTAAAAAAAAAACTCAATCTGAAAAGTTGGATACAGATATATACCTCAAAAGAAAAATTAGCAAGACCTTTAAATAATATAAAATGAATTTGGACATTACTCAAATGAATGTTTTTTGCGCACTTGTGATTACTATCACAACAGATGATAGAGCTTAATGCGAGAGCGGTCCAAGTTAGCGATTTCTAGCTGTGGCTTTGCGGGGGAGGATTAATTTGTATGCGTCTCCATCTTTCCCAATCAGATCTACTGATCTTGCCTGCTTCTAATTGAAATGCTATGGCATGGGAAAGTCGCAATAATGTTGTTTTCCTTCCCCATGCACACTATACCATCGTCAATTTTCATCGTTAATTTCAGTCACACCTTGCGGATCATCAAATAGCGGTTCAACCTCACCTAGTGGCTCCGACTCCAACACAGCGGCCACTCCGTACTACTTACTTGAATTCCGGGTTTCGGATTGCAGTCGATGGAGCTACGTCCAACCCGACTCATGGTGCGGTGGGCCTTGTTGGGTTTTTTGGAGGACATGCTATTTTTGGTTTTGGGTGCTCTCTCCTAGGGATGGTGGATGCCACTACAGTGGAATTTTTGGAGGTCTCTTATGCTTTGCTACTTCTTTGCCGTTGGTAATGGCATGATCGGCCAGTTCTTCTTACCGGCGATGCTCAAATAATGTTGGAGAGGTGGGGATCCCGCAATCCTCATGATGCTCGGTGTGGCGCCATTTTTCGTGAAGTGCTAGATATCATTAGTCATCTTCCCTTGGTTGATTTTGCTTACACACATCGAGAAGCGAATCGGGCTGCCCATTATGTGGCATGTAATGTCCTATGCTATCCTAGTATTCATAATGTCTTATATAACTATTCGTACATGGTCTGTCATTGAGTCCGTGTAGGGGCCGTAATTATTGTGGTTCCACACACTTATCTGGTTAATCTGCAAGAATTTCTATAGATTTTTTTTTCTTTCTATGGCATGGGACCGAATTAGGGATAAAAAAGAATAAAAAAAGTGGATTATGATAAATGGACAACTTGGGTCTGGGGAGGCCCATTTAAACAGAAGGTGTGGGGAAGGGAAACATGCAAAACGCTGTGGCCACGGGTTGTAACTTGTTATTTGGCCTATATATAGTCGGCAGCTTGGCCGACTGGATGAGAGGTGAGAACCAAAGATAGCGAGAAGAGAGGCTTGAAATATGGTTGTGACAATCGGGTTCAATTGGTATTGGGAGCGGTAATCAAATTCGATACAAAATATAATTAACATTGAAAAATAGTGTTATCGATTAGATTTTTTTTTTATCTCTAAACAAAATGGCATCGCTTTGATGGAATTAAATAACAAAAAGAGAGAAATCTGTCGGATTCAAGTATGAATATTTAGATGTTGATGTTGTCAATTGGATTCAAAGATAAATGTTTGGAATTTTACATTAAAAGTGGCATTTAAATATGATGATGTCATTTTGTTTGTAATGTAGTGTTTTATTTATATATGGCTGGAGACTAAATGCTAGTTCACAATTTCTTTGGTGTTAATGGTTTTTTGTTTCCTCATATATTTTGTTAAGAAAGGCATAAACTAATATATAAATTTATTGTACCTCAATTAAACCATACAACTTGTTAAACCGTAGTAAAAAAACAGGTTTAACACCCTTGCTTCGTGGGAAGAAAACCCGTCCCGTGTGAGTTTTCGTTGTCAAGCACACCAGCATCACAATGTGGGGCTACGAGAGCAAAATAAGTCGGAATCCTTCCCCAAATGATAAGCCAAGCAAGCAAAAGTGCTTACATTTTTAACAAATTTTTAGTAGGGTGGTATTCTCACTTCACCACATCCTATTGATGGAACTGCAATTCTTCCACGGATGGAATTGTCCAAGTCTACAATAGAAACAAAATAGAGTATTTGTCAAGTTCACCAATAGAGAGTGGAAGCACAAATCCATCAATTGTATACCATCTCTGAATGCCTCCTAAATCCTCGGTCTCGTTACATTGTTTTGAGTAATAATCATCATTCATCAGTTGGCATAAATTATGTTGAGTCTTGTCGAGCAGTCGATTAAGAAAGTTACTAACCGTTAGCTCTAAACGATTTTCAGATGTCAGAAAGTTAACTTAGTTAGTTAAGTCCATTTCTTTACCGTGGATGCTGTCAAATTAATTTGATGATTTTTAGAGTTTGAAAGGAAGAATAAAAGGGGAAGGGGGGTATAGACGAGGAAATAATGCCTCCATGATTGTGAATTTATGATGTTGACTTTAACAAATCCAAACAAAAATTCCTCTTCGTTCCTTGCCGTGTCACTTTGCTGTTACACGTGCGTCTGGGCCTACCCCAAACCAGAAAATTAAGCAGCCCAGCCCACCCCCACCTCTCTCTCCCAATTACCCTCATAAATTCACAACATATAAGTTTTAAAAAAGAAAAAAAAAACCAAAACTACAGTAGGATGGCAATGGGTCGGGTTTTGTCAAACCCAGACCCAAATCCATGGGTTTATCCATGAAAAAAACTCGGGGTAAAACCCACTGGGTTTGAAAAACTCAAACCCAATCCAACCTCCTAGGTACCCGCGGGTTCATAAGTACCCATGGTTTTTTGTCGTAAAAAATTTACAATAACAAGTTCATATCAAAATAAAAGTCAAATATCAATCTCTCAATACAAATTATCCATATATAAAACACCATTCTAGAAAATTCAAGCAAACCACAAATTAACCATACAAATTGTTCAACACTAATCTAGAAAACTCAAGAAAATTGAAGCAAATCATAAATTATCCATAAAAAATATGATTAATTGAAAGCTTCTTCCTCCTTGTCAATTAATCTTCTTCACTCTCCACACGATAATATCAACTTCATTCTACACAATTAGAAAGAAAAAATTAGACATGTCTCCACAAACATAAAGAAGAGTAGTTGTTTAGAATATTAAATATACCGGAAAAATTAATTATATGGGTGTGGGCGGGTACCCATGGAGCGGGTTTACCTAAACCCAAACCTAACCCAACCCGATGAATAGTGAACCGGTTTAAACCCAAACCCGACCCAAAACCCGTCAACACGAGTTTTACCCGCGTTGACCGGGTTGGGTTGGATAGGGTACCCGTGAGTTCGGGTTTTGTTGCCATTCCTAACTACATGTACATATTGATAGAAAATGATAAGCTTAAAATGCATCGCAATCGTTATACTTTCATGAAACGAGGTAATTAAATCTGAATTTTTTCAAAGTGCAACAAAGTGAATGAAATATGTATTCTTCCAACGATAATGAGTGTCTTGATGAGACTAGATAATTAACCACAAAATTGATATCTCTATAAACATGTCCCTATATGATAGGGCAAAGTTGTTTCATAAGTTGTCAAACCTCTGTGATATCTGCATAATGGGATGGTTGGATGTGGCATTCATTCTCAATGATGTGTTTGGCTAGTTAGTAAACTTTCCTAACACCTAGCTCCAAGGGAGGAAGATTAATGAAAGTAGCCATAACAAGGAGGAAGAAGAGGAAAGAAATAGCAAGGCTTGGGAAAAAGCTTAAGGCGAGGACTATATAACTCAAAATTAGTGCAGAGCCCATCGAGAAGCAAATATGGTGGCTCATAACTACGGCGGGCTATTTGGTATGGAATATTTGATTTTACTCGAAACCGGACCGTATAATCCGGACTGGAACCGGATAGCAAACAATGCAATCCAATTTTTGGACTTAGATTTGAGGTACAAAAACTGTTAGGGACCGGATCGAAAATCGGATAAAAACCGGATAAGAGAGTCCAACTCCCGAAACTTAACCAACTCTTCACCCTTTGACTTTTGAGTCCTCAGGCCACTCAAATCCCCACAAGTCAATCTAAAATCAAAACCGAATTGGGACCGGACCGGGTCAAGACCAGATTTTAGATAATAAATTGTCCGATTTGAGTTGTTTGGGTGATTAATAAATTACGTAGTGCTGTCCCTCCTTTCCTAAAAAAATATTATAGTAGTAAAGGAATTTTCGTTCCATATGTTTTTGCCAATGAAAGTTACAAAGGAGCAAAGCCAAGTCGCTATAGCTAGAAGGTGGGGGTTGTAGTTAATGATGCCAAGACGTTAATGAAAGAGGCTCGTCATTAAAACAAAAGAGGTCTGCCTGCAACTCCCATCACTTTCCCTCCTCTTCCTTGGCCTTTTTAGCAACATAATTATGTATTACACCAGTGAGGCAACAATGACCAAACCACGATCACAATTATGCCGGTAGAATTTTCTTCCGAGGTATTTATTGGCCCGTTTTCATTCAAATCTTTCATAAATGCACTTCCAAAGTCCTTTTTGGAGCTCTTGGCCGATGCTAGTAAGATCAACATAAGGATGAAACTTCACAAAATCCACGATGTAGCTTTCGTGTTTGAACTCGTGAATCGCTCGAGTTTGTAATCGAAATGGAATGCTGATTCGGTCAAAGTTTTATTAAAATTTTATCTGAAATATGTATATAAAAAATTAGGGAATAATTGATGATCTACTAACGATCTCATTAAAACAAGGTAGTAGCAGGATATAGAGATTACATAAATATCAATGATTACAAATAGATAAATCATCCGAGTCCTACCTAATTGAATGAGACAAAACTCTATCGTAAGGAAAAATCCATTGGTATGAGTAAAAGTGTAAAACCAAAACCCTAATGCTTAATAAAAAACTAGCACCACACAATCATAAAAACTATTATAAACGTGCGAAGAAAGGGTTGGTCTAGTGGTAATACTATTGTTCTTGAACTTGATGGTTCCAAGTTTGGATATTTTAAATGACATCTAACAATAAAAAAAAAACTATATCACCCCTTATCAAATTAAAAAAAACTAATGACATCATAAAGAACTCCTGATTAGTAATTTGAACGTATGACAAAGAGAGGAGAGGGGATGATATAAATGAGTGTCATGTTGGTTAGAGGTTCGAAGATTCCTCTTGAAATTGGTGTTCTATATCCTACACAAGACTGTTAATAGATGGGAGGGAAACTCAAGAACATCATGACACATCACTCTCTTTCTGCCTTTCACAATGGCCAAGGAAATTAAAATGTTTAACAAGCACACATACCATACATACATTTACCAAATAAGCACAAAGGTAGATGGTCGACCTGGTTTTGCCAATCCAATATGGTTCTTCAAAGTGGGCAAAGTTTGGAGCTTTGTGAGTCCCCATTTCCCAAAACCAGCCACTGCCTTCAATAGCTAGCTAGCTGTTAGATTTTGACATGGACCCACCCCCAAGAAACAAAACACTCTCCTTCCCAAACCCAAAACACATATAATGCTAAATATATCATCTTTCTGGCAGATCCATGGCCACCACACCCTAGAAGATAAGCAAGTTATGGAGCAAGCATTCATCTTTTGTACTAATATGTTCACTTTGACAACTTAACTCTCTCCCTCTCCCTCTCTCCATCCTCTGCTTCTCCTCAGACCATTCCCCCTCAACAGCAAGAAACAAAAGCCCTTTTGCAGAATCCCATAGGCCTCCACTAGAAGGCTAGAAAGAATTTTGCAGCAGTTGAGTCAGTGAGTCAGGTCTTTCCAGTATTTATTACACCATGGATGGTACTCAATTGCTTGGAGACAGCAAAGCAAAAGTTGTGGAGCTAGATACTACTATGAAAGAAGACATACCAGCAGCAGCAGCAGCAGCAATATCCCCTGCATCACCACCTTCAGCAACTACATCTCCTTCTCATGAATTCTCTTTCACAGTCTCTCTTCATTCTTCCTCAACAGCAACTCTTCCTGCAACCATCGACAACAGCAATAAGTCCTCCAAACCCACAACTCAAAATCCATCCTTTGCCATTGATTTGTCCCCAGCAGATGACATCTTCTTCCACGGTCACTTGCTCCCTCTTCACCTCCTCTCTCACCTTCCTGTCTCTCCTCGCTCATCCACCAATTCAATGGACAGCTTCACCCTCCCCATCAAGGAATTGATGGGTGACCAGATAGCCAGCAACAGAACTAGCACCACAACAAATCCCATAAGCCAGAAAGCCCATAGCACAAACAACATCAGAACCAGGCCAAGCAATCACCATCACGAGAGCATCGAGAGCAGTGAAGAAAAAGGAAGATCAAAGTCCAAGTCATTCTCTTTGTTCGGGTGGAGAAAGAGGTGCGAAGCTAGAGAAAGGGAAGAAGAGAAGGAGAAGCAACAGAAGAAAAGGCTCAAGTTCGATGTTAGTCATATACTGAAGAGGTATGCGAGGATTGTAAGGCATACATTCAGAGGGAGGAAGGAGAATCATCCCCATTTCCAGAGGCAGCCTCGTACATTTTCAGGCCATTTGAGCGTGAGAAACAACAAGCATGAATTGAGAGGAAGGAGGGGTGAATTGTTCTCTGCACCTGCATCAATGAGAACTTCTCCATCTAACAGTGGGGTTCTTTGCACCATTCCTCCTTCTACAAACGACAGCACCATGGAGGAGCTGCAGGCTGCAATTCAAGCTGCAATTGCTCATTGCAAGAATTCCATAGCCACCGAAGAGAAGAACAAATGTTGAATGATGGGAAGTGCAAATTTTCCAGTAGAAGTTCTTTCCCCCATGTTTTCCCATATTGCTTGTTATACCTGTGTATAAATTGGTATATATAATTTATAATATAGAACAGGGATTCTCACTGAGTTCTCAGAGTTAAAGCTGAGTTTTTTAGACGGATTTATTATCACTTTCAAGGATGAATGAATATCTCTTTGCTTTTCTTGTCCACATGGCAGCAAAGGGAATGATATTTAGCTTCACAGACAATTCAAATTGATAACTATCAAATGTTCTTCCTAGGATGCCTTTATGGGACACATCTAAATCTTGAACTGAAAGAGAAAAAACCCAGGCATTTTAAGATACGGAACTGTCCGTACTATAAACTGGAGATATGATCTCAACATGAAACGGAAGTGCAATAAAGTTTAGCAGATAGACTAATCATATCAGATTGAATGAAGCTGAATTAAGAGTCCAAGACATAAAGGCTGGAATCATTAATTGATTATTGTCTTATGCTCTATCCTTGGCTGGCTCTAGTCCAGCCAGCAAGGCTGTGTGCCAAGCTTGCTGTACAAATGAGCTGCACCTAGCCAGACATACCTAACATATAAGGCCTAACTCTTCAATCTAGGATCACAGTCTTGAATATCAATTATCATTTTAGGGGCAAAGACTGAATATCCTCCAAACAGGTGTATGAGCTGACAAAAAATCACCTTGTTCTGACTATAATCAGATGAAAAGAATCATAATTATGAAGCATAAAAGTCCCCAGTTCAACATGAAATGAAAAGGTGCGACAAGAGAAAAGGAAAACCAACTTCGGTAGGTACCATGTAAAGCAAGAAAATTGCCATGATTGAGCATAAAGAAGGCAGAGGGTCTCCTGAATATGATTGCTTCAAAGTTTAAAAGTTCACAGGAACAACCAACTGGTACCAAAGTACCCACAATCATTCCACAGTCCACAACAATAATGGATTTGTTGTGATTGACATTTTAACCACAAGTTTGCCAGACATAATTATTTGGCATATACAATAATATTAATAACCAGAACTCTGTCCTTCATTCCCAGATAAATCAAGTCTTTTGTTTTGTAACTTTGTAGAAAAATCATAAAAAAAATCAGAACAAGATTTGTAATGTCCAAATAGCTTTTGGAGGATTGGGGAGGGGGTATAATTTATATGCATCATAGGATGATGAAGCACAGAATGAAGATTGATACGTTGATATGATCTGTGCAATTGACTAATGGGCTAATCCCCTTTTTCTTTCTTTCTTTCCCCATACTGATACTAACATCCCACTACAGGACTGAAATGAAGCCCCACAACGCACATGACAGTGGCTGCTGCCATGCCTTTTGAGCATCAATCCAAAGCAACAAAACACAGACAGGGACAAAAAAAGGGGCACAACAACATCACCAACGAGAAAAGAAAACAACCCCCATATGCACTGTATCCGCACGAGTGGATTCCCTCGGATATGGCTTTTCTTTTTGTAAGATTTCATCTTTGCCCCGTGAAAGTAAATGCGCACAAGGTGTTTGCTTTAATTACCCACCGAAGGGAAAAAAGCGCCATCGCCCCCCTCAAAAACAGGGGCAAATGGTTGCACTGCTCAAGAAGATACTGATTACCTCGCATGATTGGGTAAGGCTGGTCATAGTTCAACAACATCTTTCGAAGAATCTAATTTAAAGTCTTGCAATTACCCACGAAATAAAGTGATGTTGCGATCGAACCATTGGAAGTTTGAGCATTCAAGAACCGAAATTCAAACGGCATAGGAAATGGGTGGCTTTCAGAGAACGGTACCTTGCAATTTTCCGCATATGGGACCCCTGGCCGTGGCTGGCTGGCTGGCTGAGAGATTGTGGGTGTTACGGACTATGTATGTTGAGATTTATACGTAGCCCATCTATTAATTTGTGAGGACTGTTTTGCACTTATCCCTAGTTGAATGTGATGTACAGGGATATTGTGTTTCTCCATATATAGGCTGCCGAATGCATGGGCAGTGATGTATGAGAGAGTTTTCAAACCCTAATAATAAAACCTAAGCCGAAGACCCCTTGAGTGGGTCTTCCGTGGATTAGTCTTGCTCACAACGAGCAAGGATACCACGTAAATCGCTGTGTATTGCGTTACTCTTCTCAATATTTTACATGGTATCAGAGTTGTGAGCTGAGATTCACGGCGTTCTAAACTCCCATCATGAGTTCCGATGACGAAACAACGATGGAGACGAAGCTAAAATCGACGACCTCACCGTCGAGCTCTGCCGGTGTTCCCAGCTTCCCGCCGACCTTCGTTCTCCACAACTCAGACAGTCCCAATCAAGTTTTTGTCGGCGAGCTCCTCACCAACTCCAACTACAACGAATGGCTCGGTGACATCACCGACTCTTTCATCGCCAAGAACAAACTCGGATTTGTTGACGGCTCGATTCCACAACCTGCTGCTGGTAATCTTCGCGATCAATGGAAAATTTGCGACACGATGGTAAAGGGCTGGCTGAAGTCGGCGATGAGCAAGGAGATCCGCTCCAGCGTCCGTTTCGCCAGCACCGCTCGTGATATTTGGTTGGATCTTGAGGCACGGTTCGGCCAACCTAGTGCGCCTCGGCTCTACGAGCTTCGGGGTAAGATTACTGCTCTTCAACAAGAAAAGTCCAGTGTCTCTGGTTTTTATACTAAGCTGCGGGGGCTATGGGATGAAATCCAATCATCTCCCCCACTCCTGATTGCAATTGCGGCGGCTGTACTTGCGATGTGAAGCGCAAGTATCGTGACACTAAGAACAGTGAACAATTGTTTGATTTTCTTAAGGGGTTGGATGAGGCCTTCTCGACTGTTAAGACTCAGATTTTGGCTATGCGCCCAATGCCTAGCCTTGGTGAAGCCTACCAGCTCGTGAGCAATGACGAGCAGCAACGTCGGATCGCCCAGTCGCGGCGCCCTACTGTCGAAGCAGCTGCCTTTCATGCTGCTGATGACCGCTCTTCCTCTCGCGGTTCATCGAAGACTTCTGACTCCACCAAGCCTCGTTACTTTTGTGATCACTGTAAGAAACCGGGACATTCCAAGGAACGATGCTTTGAACTTGTGGGTTACCCGGATCGATCATCAGCTCGTGGGGAACGTGGTGATCGTGGGTCTCGATCAAAGGGAAGTGACCGTGGAGGGGGCGATCGTGGGAAAGGCTCCCCTCACGCAGCCCAAATTGAGACTCGCACCAGTCCCATTCCTGGCCTAACAGTTTCACAGTTTGAGCAGCTCAAAAATTTGTTCGGTGGCGAGATGAGGCCCGCGTCTACTCCTGCCGATAAAGCGACAGGTAATGGTTCTCTTCCCTCCACCATACATGATGAATGGTTAATTGACACGGGCTGTAACGAGCACATTGTGAACAATTCGAAGTTAGTTCTTGGGTCACATGACGACCCGGGTTTGCAAGTACGGGTCCCCGATGGTTCTAGTATTCCGGTGACTCGCATTGGTGAAGTTCGGCTATCTAATGGGCTAGTACTGCCTCGTGTTCTATTAGTTCCGGAATTTAAATGCAACCTGTTATCTGTTAGTCAGCTTACTCGGGATTTTTCTCTGGCTTTGATCTTCCTCCGCGACTTCTGTGTGATACAGGACTTGTCCTCGAGGATGATTATTGGGACGGGGCACCAAGTTGATGGCCTCTACTATTTACGGCTTTTTGAGGGGATTCGGCAAGAGATGGCTCATGCTGTTCGTGGCCATGGTTCGGCCGATCTGTGGCATTCCCGGCTGGGTCACTGACTCGCTATGACACAACTCCTAACAATGGCCAAGTGTAACCAATGAAAGGGACTGCAGTATAGTGGCTCAAGTAATAAATATCGAATCCACGGGTCTCTAGAGTTACTATTACTCAGCTTCAATTCATTATCTAGCAAACCAGATTAAGATGAAAGAACTAAAACTACTCTAACAAACTACAGTTAAAGTTAATCTAATTACAGGTTGGGAACTCACTTAGGTATGATTCCCCCTAGCCACTAGCCAGATTAATGATTGATGATCTCTAACCTGTTTCACTTTCATTCACAATGCGGAGAATCCTTAACTAGACCTTGAGTCTCGACTAAAGGAACAAGGCCCTCTTGAGTCAATTGCCTAGAGGGACGTATCCTTCTCTAGAACAACTGATCAAGGCGTTCTGAACTAGACTCCCTCTATCGAATGAGGTTCTCAATTGATACAAAGCAGTGAATCAACCCTCGACTAAAGCAATCGATCCACTACTATCAATCTATGGTGCTCTATTGACCTAATCAGGTATTCGCTCTCATAGGATCAAAGCAGAATCAATAATCTCGACTAAAGCAGAATTGAATCATGAAAACATGCATAGATTGAATATGAACTCAAGATTATCAAGTCAAAGTACTCATACAATCATCCAATCAAACAGACATAGCTAGGGTTCCTCAAAACCTAAGTGAAGGGAAGTTACTCCATAGAGAAGAGAGAGACTGCAGTAAGAATCTTCAGATGATCAGTCTTCAAGTCCGGGCTTGTTCCTCGAGCTTCCAAGGCGAAGAAATCCTCCAATTCCACTCCAAGAATGCCCTCAAATCGTTCTCTCTCTCTTTGGTTCGTCCCTTGGGTGTTTGGGATCCAAAACCCAGCTCTCCCTCTCCTTTGGCTCGAATTTGGGTTAAAAAACCCGATTCTGGGCAAAACACGGTCGAGGGCACGGCCGTGCTTTGCCTCAGCCCGCCCGTGTTTTCAGCTCGAGTTGGCCAAACTCAAATCAGCTCTCGGCAGTAAAAACACGGTCACAGAACACGGCCGTGTTCTGAAGGCCTACTGCCCGTGTTTTCACTGCCGAGCCTGTTCAATGCTTCGTTTCTCCCTCGTCCGGACTCCGAATCAGTCGCCGTTTGATCCCAGACGCTCGTAGTCTCGTCCTCTTTCATTTCATAACAAGCTTGCATGATTCTTTGTTCATGAAGTGAGGTAGAAATCC